GCCGGGCTGACCACTGGGTAAAACCAGGTGGAACACAGAGGTCTCCGAGACCTCCACAAGCCGGCAGCCGCACAGCAGACAAGCGCCGCTGCGATCTGAGATGCGCAGAGCTGCCGCTAGGGAGAACCGGGTGGAAAGGTTTCCATCCCAGAGCTCCACAAGCCGGCAGCCCGCGCAGCAGACAGAAGCCGCGATCAGACAGAGATGCGCCGAGCTGCGGGGAGGGGATAAGGGTGGAAAACATCGGTCTCCAGAGAGCTCCACAAGCCGATAGTCAGAACCCAGCTCCACCATCATGTTATATTTCAACCCGTTTTCTAAAGTGCAGCATTATGTTAAATGCACTGGGTTTTACCCTATTACATTTAAATTTCATGGTTAAACAGTACATGTTAAAATCTAAGCTCAGCTCGGCAGTGACCTAAAATACATAAATATAATTTTACTTACCGAAAAAATGAAGTGGAGACTCCTTGGACGCTCTATTAGTGCAATTAATGCCACAGCAAGTCATTTTGTCCAACAATTGCACAAAAAATATCCAAAAAAGAATACACACACACAGAGACTCAAAATCCCAGAGCAGTTTCCAAGCCAGACCGAGGCTCTACTGAGGCCTTTCCACGGAGCTAGCTCTGTGGTCACGTGGGTCGGATGCTCATTAATTATACAGAATTTTAGGCTTTTAATACACTTAAACAGAAGAGTGAGAAAAAAAATTCACCGCCCTCAGAGTTGTCGTGAGTATAAACTAGATAATTTAAACCAAAAACATGTTTTGGTACCAGGCTGTAAACATGTTTATTTCTGCTGTGAAATTGGTATTTTTAACATGGGAGTCAATGAGGATTTGCTCGCTTCTGACACCAGCTCCTAGTGGATGAGGGTGGAACTGAAATTTTTGGTACTTCCAGGATTGCTTCAATTTTTGAGCCGCATTGTGGGGGCTTGGTATTTCCGCTGAGTTAGCAAAAAACAACCAAAATGTGCAAATAAGAAAAGCGTTTTCATTCAGACACAGACGCTGTTTTGTTCTGATCTGCAGCTCACACAGCTTCACACGCTAGAATAAATGTCATCACATTGTCAACGTAAACTGTCACATGATTATCACTCACCCAATCACATGCTTTGATGCCATTTTCCCACAAATTGTAGTTCTTTGTAGTCCCAGTCTTTCATGTGCTTTTTCGCAATAATACGTTTAGATAAACACATCCTACACACATTACTCACCACTACGAACGTTTTGATGACTAAACGATACATCCTCCCTCCTCGAAGTGGTTGAGGCCATTACAGCGCCGGGTGATGTTTAGGTTTCAGTTTCTGTTTCCTCACAAATATATTCGTGCAATTGTCACGGTATGAAAATTTAACCTCACGGTTATTGTGACCAAAATTATCATGGTTTTCGGTATTATCGCGGTATTTTTTAAACGGTGTTGCATATGTTCAGAAAGCATTGATAGTCCTGTTCTACACAAACTGAAATAGTTTTGAAAATGTTTAACAGTGTTTATTAAACCTAAAATAACACAAAGCCTTAGCAAAAGTGCAACTTTTCACAAGTAAAGGAACAAATAGCTTATTTTTCTGGAACATGTTACAGTAGTCAGTGCAGGTTTAAATTATACAAATCCAAACATTCAAAACATAAACAATATGTAAACAAATCAAAGAAACACCACTTGTTTTCTTCATTATCAAAATGAAAATCTAAAACTCCAGTCCACACTTGACTTGAGCACTGTACAAGTCAACCTTAAAAAATATGTATTTAAAATAAATGGCCACTTTAAACAAATTACTAAAATAACTACTACACTATGTAATCAAATCCAAATGTTCAAGTATAAATGGCATTGAATAAGTAAACAAATCAATGACAAGGAACTAATTGTATATTTCTCTTCATCATCAACAAATAAGATGCTTCATCCAGCAACAGGGTGTCCGTGACACGGTTTAAATGCTGGCAGAGGGTGCTGCGGCTGCAGTATATAGTGACTCGTTGCGTTCTCCCTCAACCAAAAGTCCTCACGTCATGCATTTGAGCTAAAATGCTAATGTTAACTTACCTTGCACTGGCTGTAGAGACGTGGGTGATGGTCACGCAGATGTGCCATTAGATTCGAAGTGTTGCGGCCTTTTGCAGACACTTGTTTCCTGCACGTTCTGCAAACGGGATAGCAGTTTTCTATTAACTGTCCCTCAGCGTTTTTCAGAAATCCAAAATACCGTATGCCCATACTTCCAATTTAGTCTTCTTTGAGGGCTGATGGATGTCCTGGGCGCTGCCGTCTCCTCCTTCGGCCATTATTTCAGCTTCAAAGTTTTTGCTGCAAACTATAAAGTGCGTGTGCGTGGGAACTTCAGCAGAAGCGACGGTGGCTGGTAAGGGTCACCGCGCCTAAACCGCGGCCACGGTAAACCCACCGAGATAATTTAGTTTTTTAAAAACTGGACGGTTATTTTTATTGTCAACTTTTTTACCGGGGTTTACCGCTATACCGGTTACCGTGACAACCCTACATGCAATATTCTTTATTATTTTTATTATTGTTAGTGAGAGAAAAGGAAACCTTTATTCTATTAAAAAATTAAATACAAATATTCAACAATATTATATTGAACTCCTGTAGATTATTATTATTTATGTTTTCGTTTTTGTTACAGTTTAAATAAATGAGTGTAGCTCAGAAACTAATATATGGAAGCACTTGAAATAAATATGTTGTTGTTTGAAAGGATTGTGTGCAACTTTTTTTCATTGACAATTTTGAGGGATAAAGGTGTGGCATTTGTCTATAATGAAAAAATGTGTAGAAACAAAAAAGATTTTTTATTTTTGCATGGACGTTAGGGATTTTATCAATATGTTTATCAATAACCCATTTCCTGTAGTCGAAGAGAAAAGGAGACAATGAGGCAGCAAGTCAACCAGTTATAACTGTGGCATATGCACGAGGCAAAATGCCCCGAACATCTGGTCACAGACTTTATTCAAACAGAAAGATAAGAAAGAAATGGGAGAGGGAGAGAGAGAGAGATTGTGTGTGTGTGTGTGTGTGTGTGTGTGTGTGTGTGTGTGTGTGTGTGTGTGTGTGTGTGTGTGTGTGTGTGTGTGTGTGTGTGGATGTGTCTGAATAAGTGAGCATGCAAAGAGGCATAGAGTAATACATATTACATTCACTTGATTGAATCAATGATCAAGAAATAATAGACATAACATTTCCGTAACAATGGATAATTGCATTTTTTAGTAAAATATTTATCTGCTATGAAGATTTTACATTTATATTATTAACATTTAGAATGTAAGGGTTGTATTGATGTATAGCAGGTTGAAATACTCCAAAAAATGGCACCACAGCATGTAAAAATGTAAATATAAGTTCTGGCGAACTTGTTCAATGGCAGGTCTTAAAGAGTTCATGGTTCTTTGTAGTCAAGTTTCCAACACCTATTGAACATTCACTGGTTAGGCAGATTTAAACCTAAAGTTGTATCATGGCATCATACTTGTGAGGCAGCAAATGCAACGCAGTAAACCTTATCAACAATGGAGTCCCGACAGCAGCTCGTACTTGGTTTTTGCTTGCTGACATCTTCTTTCTTATCTTTCACACGTTCGTGTACAGTGAGGTGAGGTGCAACAACGGCACTCTGGCAAGCGGTGATGTTTTTCTGTCCCCCAATCAATAGAGAGTGTCATGTAATGCCAGAGACTTGGCCCTAATTGTACAGTTCCATTATCCTATGGACCTACAGCTGAAGGAGGACCAGTAATGGCTCTGTTCGGTTCAGTTGTGTAGGCCACTTTTACACTGAAAAACGACAAAAATAGGGTACCAACCCATCAGTATTACTGAGTGGAGATGAGCGATAACAGAACCAAACAGCCAAGTTGTACCAGTACCTGTGTCAGATATGACACAAATTATTCGTCGTTTGGGGATAAAACACACGCAGTGAGATTATTTGGTGTGAAATAGACCTCTGGAAGTTGACAAAACCAGATTTACAATTAAGGAAGAGCCTTCCTCAAAACTCATTAGCAAAATATTTGGTGTCTTGACCATCTAAAAGTGCATAACCTTAAAAGATTTGAAGCATCATGAGACATGAAGTATGTATACAGGAGATGAGGCCAAACCCCCATACTGATTAACTATAATCTTCAGTCCATCAAAGAGCACAGATTAGGCCCAAGGACATTCCTAAATATCTGGTCAGTTTGTTGCTGTAAGCTGAAAATTTTAAAATCACCATGAAAACAAACAGGGAGCTTTAGTTAGCTTTAAATTCATCTCCACCATTAAGTGATTCAATGGAGCATTTTTACAATGAACACAACGTTCCAGCCTTGCTTTAGAATTTCTTAGGAAATTAGATATCTGACGTGTGGAGAAGGTTTATTTTGGACCAATCATTAGTTATATTTGTGGCTTCATGCCCAAAGTTAAGGAAGTCATCTTTTCCTTTTTGTGATTTTGAGGGGATGCCCGGCTCGCTGCAGAATCAAATTGGGTAGAAAAATTGTGTCTGTATTTTCATGCATGAGTTATTTTCCACACATCTGTGGATCATGATGAACGGCGCTTCCTGTGAACATGTCTGAAAATAGTGCAGACGTCAGGGTGGGGTGCTATATACGTGTCGACTAGAGGCCATGGAAGTGGATTATGTTGAAATCTTGTCTCCAAAAAAGGGTCCTTACACAACACATGAGTAAAATGTCTTTAACTAGAGCATTTTTTTACTTTCTATGACCCATTTGCCAACTTTAATGACCACTGAATATTTTAGCTTCTAGCCTTCCGGATTTCAAACGGGGATGAGGATGTTTTTCCTCAGTCAGTGAATCATAGCTCTGCGTGAAAGAGGCGATTTCTGCCTCTGTGTGTGTTGGGTTCTTTAACTTTGGCTGCCTAAAAGATCTAATGAGATGTCTTTTTTTCCTCTCCGTTCTCTTTTTCACCTTCCTCCTCTGACAGCTGGCTGGTCGGGGGACAAAGGAGAATAAATGTTCCATGAAGGCGGTGGAGGAGATGCTGGACTCCATGCAGATCACCATGTCTTAGATGTCCTTTTACTGTCCCCCCCCCCCCCCCCCCCCCCCCCGTTACATCGGAGCAAACTAGCACCTCAAACACCCATTCAGTTTGACCAGAACTTGGCAAATCATTTATCCCCTTGTTGTAACTAATTATTTGATCTTAACATATAAAATCTGAGACATTTGTTAACCTTTAGACAGAACAGAGACCCAAATAAGCTCTTAGTTCCAACTAGCTGTGATCCAGTCACTGACTAAGTGATGCTATCCACTCCATCCCAGGTTCCACATTAACGCTGAGACCATGTGACCAGGAAATGGAACAAGATGTACAGTACATGCTATATTTATTAAGACATTATGGAGCTGCTGTCTGTCTGCACTGACGGTTTTTGTTTTCATGGCATCTGTAAATTCATCTAATAAACATTTTTGGAAAATCACCAACTTGTTATTTTTGACATAAGAGCTCAAATAGATCTATAAACCAACACTAATAAAACTAATCTTTAAATGCAACTTTCCTTTAGTTATAAATGAACAATTCTATGTTTGTTTACCACAGTTAGCTGTGCTGCAGTCAGTTTATATCCTAACAGGCTTGGTCTTTCAGGTTGTCATTAGAATACTGATTTTAATTAAAACCGGCAACTTTTCTATTTATAAACAGGAAAAAAAATTGATGACAGATGAAGGAAAAGAGGAAACCTAATTCTTCCAAACAGCTGGTTCTCTGATGTTCCTCACTCATGCAGCATCACCTGTCCATTGTTTATGAAGTTATGGCAATAGTTTTTTATAGTTGCATTGAATCGTGTAAGTTAAAGAGAAAAAGAAAGTATTTTTAATACAAAAATAATTAAACAACTTTTAGATTGGCAGGTTCAGGTCTGTGCTTCACTAATTACAAAACAGTTTTCCAGAGTATGTAAATGCTTTCTGAAATCTGCAGGTTGTAATAAAAGCTAGTTAGTGTTTGATTTCAAATTCTTAGATGTTCTGCCTGCTTACATCGCTGCACTTGTTACAGTGTTTGAACTTGTGAAAGAGGAATGAAGCTTGTCAGTCAGGCTGATGGGGTCCTGATGGCCGCCATGTGCCAGTCATACTGAAGCAACAGTGCCATCTGTAGTTTGGCAGAAGAACTCTAAGGACAGGAAACCGTTTGCTTTTATTCAGCAGAGTGAAACCTGCAGCTGGAAGTGGGCTGCAGACATCATATTGTAACCCATGCTCTTATTTTCCAGACAGTTTATTCTTTCAATTAGCTGAGAATTAAAACATCCTTTTAAGTTAATTATAAACTATCTTGGCTTTCCACGGGATTTTAAAGTGTTCTATAACGTGACCTCTCACTCCTGACAATCCCCTAAACCTTTGTCTCATTAGTAAAGAGGAGGATGTTCTTAGTCTGAAACTTAACAGACATGCCAGCACAAAACGAGGAGTAAAGCAGGAGAAGAATCCTCTAAGCTGATGGCTCATCTTATCATGTAGAGGATTCACTCTTAGTGCTGCCTATAATCCTGGATTCCCAGGAAGATTAACTCCTGGAGGGGGTTTACTTGTCCTTGGCTAGGTTAGTACGGGATTACCTCTGAGGTGATTATGATCTTACTTTGGAGCAGAGCTGCATTTGATCATCCAAAAGTAGGAGGGGATGGTGATTTATTTTTTAAAAAGTGAATAATACAATCCAGCTTTAACACGTTTAATTAGCCCACATGGTCAGCAAATTAAAAACAAGGCATTTGATCTTTGGTCTCTTCTGTTTACCATTTATACGTAGGTAAACTGAAAGCAAAACTATTTAGAGTCATCCCATCTATTTTCGGCCGCTTGTCCGGAGTCGGGTCACGGGGGCAGCAGCCTAAGCAGGGAGGCCCAGACTTCCCTCTCCCCAGCCACTTGGACCAGCTCCTCCAGGGAAATTCTAAGGTGTTCTCTGGCCAGCCAAGAGAACCCACATGTCCTGGGTCTTCCTTTAGGTCTCTTCCCAGTTGGGCGTGCCCCGAAAACCTCACCATGGAGGCATCCTATGTAGATGCCCGAGCCACCTCAACTGGCTCCTCTCGATGTGGAGCAGCAGCGGGTCTACTCCGACCCCTCCCGGGTGACTGAGGTCCTCACCCTATCTCTAAATGAGAGCCCAGCCACCCTGCGGGTGAAAACTCAAGTGGCTGAGATCTCGTTCTTTCAGTCACTACCCAAAGCTGGTGATCATAGGCAAGGGTAGGAACGTAGATTGAAAACTTAGCCTTCTGGCTCAGCTCTCTCTTCATCACGACAGATCGGTACAACACAAGTATCACTGCAAACGCAGCACCAATCCATCTGTCAATCTCGCTTTCCATCTGTTCCTCACTTGTGAACAAACCCCCGAGCTACTTTAGATTAATTCATCTTAATAATCGAACAGGCTACTGATTGTAATGTGATTCAAAGTTCAAAGTTGGCCAATATTTATGATGACAGTTTAAATCTTTTGAAGTTTTAATCAGTGAAAATTTTATGAAACAAAATCTTTCCATCACTTATCGACTCATTGAACAACCTCAGTGCTGCTGGGTAGTACAGATGGAGCCAGTTGCAAACTGTCTGTGCCAACTTAAAAAAAAAACTAAAAAAAGTTTTACTTCTTTGGATGTTCATAAAAACTGCTGGAATGATTATGAAATTTATCACATTGTTCCTTATATTTCCCCTCATGTAGCAACTTAAGTTCCTGATATTGAAAAGATATAAATCTTGTAATTTTCTGTCCGTTAATCATGAGGAATAAGGTATAATCTATACAGTTTGGAACATCATGCCTCGTAAGACACCTCCACGCAGATAAAGCTTCACAAATTGTAATGATACATGTGAGCTGAGCTTAAAACAGCTTTCATTTTTCAGTAGCAACCCTGAGCTGTGTGGAACAACATTCTGCAGTGACAGCTATTTTCCTTCAAAAGCATTGACTCTAAATGTAAAGTAATATTCCCTCCATTTTCCAGTTGATTTAGTACAACATGAGACATAAACTCCCCTGAAGCTACCCAACAGGGATCAACTCCAGCATTCTGCTACTGAGCAGAAAGAAGCAAATGAGTCATCATAGATGCTGTCTCATCCCGTGGTCAATTCAGCTTTCACACCACAAATCAGAGAGCAATCCCTGTTGCTGCAAACCAGAGATATATTCTACTGTCAAATGATAGAATGGTAAATAGTTACACGAAGGATCACTTGCACTTCACCTGCAGTCGGTGTGAAGTGCATTCATTGTTTTATGGGTTATGAAAGTTCTGATGCTGCTGTGATGACAACATTAAAGTTGACGTTCACTGAGAAAACGAGTAATGTTTGGTATTTATAAAATACGATCGGCCACTCTGAGTTGCATATGGATGCTGACTGTGAAAATGTTCTTCAACCTCCATTTCTACATTAGATACAGAAAGAAAACAGACAGTCAAACACTCAGGTCCTAAAACGCCAGTCTTCCTCTATGTCACACTGAAATTTACATTCATGTACTCACCCACCGTGGCTTGCGCCCACAGAAGGCTGAGCTGCCAGGAGAGAGCAGAGCACGTCTCGGCTAGAAGAAGCTAACATTAGCATAAGCAGTGTTGGTCTTAAGTTTGTCTTAGAAGTCAACTAGTTCAAAGTTTAGTTGGTACATTTTAAAATGAAATAATTCAGCTCATAGTTCATAATTAAATTCTTTTAATGTGTTCATAGTTCTTTTTTCACTATGTTGCGACGAGCTGTTTCCCTCAGAATTCTGGCATTTTCCAAATGTTGTTACTCATTCAGTCCACACTCATACCCAGCTACAATATATTCTCAAGAACAGGAGCAAAAACTTGCTGCTTGAATTGTAAACGAGGAGCTGATCTGAGGGAAGAACCAGGCTGAGGCAGGAAACGAAGGAGGCACTTCAACGTGCAATAATCTAAGTTCAAACATTTAAACATGAATTATCTTTGAACACTTTTCAAATTACGGGAATTAATTTTCTGACTTGTTTGCAAAAATAAAAATGAAAGTTATAGAACTTGGTTCATAAAGTACTACAATCAGCCCCAAATGAACATAAAAACAAAGCAAACAAATAAATCACCAGTGCAAATATGTAACTAGTGTTTCCAGATTTCGTGTTCTCCCATATTAATGGTGCATTCCATTTGTACTCGGAAATCCCAACTTTCTAGTAAGAAAACTCAGCTGGAACACCCCCGAAAGAAAGAGAATGTTCTTCAATCTGAATCTGAAGTTCAATATAGCAGCTCCTCGTAACAACTACGGTCAGTTCTCAACAACATAGACATTGAAGCGTGTACATCAACCATTACTGCCTAAGGCGGTCTTTTTTGTAGGGTCTACTCTTTATAATACTATTAGCTAACGAGATATTTTTGACTACAGCTTTAGCTCCGTGGAAATCTCAAGCTCTCAAATGGCGAGAGAGCGCCATTCATAAACCCCTTTAGTAACATCAAAATGAACATGCTCAATTTAACGTTCATCAGGAAAAAATACGAACAAGTTCAGTTCACAAACGATCGTTCAATTAACTGGTTCAGGTACAACGCTGAGCATTAGCAACCCCCAAAAATGGCGGAACACATTCAGGCTTGTGTTATTTGTGAAGATAAAACATCTGTTGCATTTTTTTTCTCAAGACAGAAGCAGAAACCAGAGCATCAGAACAGTTGTGTTGCTGTTGGCCAATCAGAGGCGAGATTCTTGCATATCCTGAATATTAATGAGCAAGACTGCCATCCCGTAGTTTTCCAATTCCCCCCATTCCTCTGACAAACTTCTACCCACAGAAAACAACTCACAAGACATGACTACAGCAAATTGTTCAAACAACAGTTGTGTGCCTTCTTTAAAGGTGCATTTTGTAAGAATGGCATCCTGTGGTTTTTTAATCCAAAATATCACTCTCACTTTCATTTTGTGGGTTTCAGGGCTGTTACGGATCAGCACCAGAAGGATCTAGATGACAAGCAAAGACGAGTCATACACATGAAGTCATTAAGTTAATACATTCTCATATCTGGTGTTAGCTAGCACTCTTGTGTGTTTTACGGTAGGGGCACTTATTACACTTAGTTTATCTCTGGCATTGCAGAAAAAGTGGTTGTTTGCCATCTTGCTGATAGCTTGCTGTTATAGTTCTGAACGTCTGATTAAAGGAAGTAAATTGCCAAAATTGACTCGTTCACTTCACACGTATATTACACTGTGATATTGAGTTGCTGTGGCTTCTTAGAAATGAAAAAGTAATTTCTGGGTCACTCTGGTTTACTGGCTTTGGTTCTTTAAACAGCTCTGGAGCTTTTTGCCTGCTGGTTTCAAATTACAAAAACACTGCAGATTCAGCAACCTTACTAACTCACAGATTGTAAACCGTAATTATGTCCGTCTTTCTTTTTTTTTTTATTGA